AAAGGTTTTAGCAATGGTCTTGATCAACAAGAAATTGAGCTTCATAGTATACACATAGCATTTCCATTATTCTTTAAGAATGCATTGTATAATGAGTTTAAAATGCATGTATTCGAAAACTCATTTTTCAAAGATAATGATGAGAGTTGTTTGATTTCATCATTAGACACAATCTTGTTGAATGTAAACTTATACCATTTATAGAGAATTCTTTCATTTTAGAGCCAAAACCTATATTCTCCATTGTGGTACCCATATAATTGGTACTGATATAAATCACATCAGAGTCTCACTAGGCTTTTTATTTCTCCATGCTTAACAAAGTTTCTCATAATTTCTTTCTTATTATTTAATAGGTTGACACTAAGCTTAAATGCCAACTATTGTTTTCAATGGTTAATTGTTTGAATTCTATCCGACTTTGATTTTGACAAATAATTTCTTGTCAATTTTGATGATATTCTTTATAAGTGTTAAGTCTTAAAGTTAGACTAATTATTCTTTAATCTCTTTTTTTTTCTTTTTTTTTTTCTAGTGATAATGAAAATGCTAGTAGATTCTTGTGTCTTTGTAAACAAACCTGGAAGGAAAAATGTGAGTAATCAAATTTTCATTTGTTGAGTATTGAATGTAGGTAACTTGTATAAATAACTCTAGATCTCCTATTGGGTTGAACATTTTTAAAAATATTTTCTTATGGTTGAAATTTGAACTTTAATCTGCAATTGGATTTTCAATAGGAAATAAGTTTGTAAAAGTATTAACCCCGATGAAGCTATTGTTTATTTGCTGTTATATAATTTGTAATTTTGAATAGTGAGGGTTCAAACTTAGATTTGGGGATATTTAAATGATTTTCAAAAAGTCTAATCTAAAAGAGGTCAAAGGAATCAAACAGTAGGGCAATGGCAATCGTCGACGATGGACAGCTATTAACATAATGAGGCTAGCTAAAGTATGGATTTTTTAAATTATCAGGTGAATGTGTTCTTGAGGAAAATAGAGGTTTTGAAGAGAAAAAAAAGTTAGAGAGGGAAGGTTAAGAGTAAAAATGAAAAATTCATTTTCTTTTTTGAAGTTTTTTTTTTCAGTTTCAATTTTTAACAATTTAAAAAATTTAAATTAATTTTTTTGAAAAATAAAAAGTATAGTGTGGATTAATAAAAATGGTCACTTGGCATTTCATTTAATCAACGTCATCATTAGTTACTCTTTTAAATAATCAAAATATTGTATAAGCAAAGTCAACAGTTATGTTATTAAGTCATTTGTCACATCAATATTTTTAATAGCAAAAATTTAATAGAGTTAGTGATTGGATTAAATTATTAAACTGAAATATAATGAGGATCACATTTGTATGAATTACACTAAAAAGACTAAATTTTGATAGAATATAAGAATTGCTGGCATAATTTGATCATAAAAAACTATTAAATGCGTCAAACGTCATAAACATATTTTGCGAGTCATATATGTGTATTAGTATAGCACAATTTAGTTAAATATATTTTTTGTATCGTACACTTGTCAAAAATTGTGTCGACACGATTAAATATGAAACATATTTTTTTAAAATTTATACAGGTTTTTCTCATATAATTTTAGTATTATGTCATCATATCATGTTTAAATTTATTAAGTCTAATAAAATGACATATTTTTTAATGATATAAAAATAACTTTAATTTAACATATACAGATTATAATATTTATATTTATTTTTAAAATATTATTTTTACTTTGTATCTTTTAATAAAGTTATAATAAAATATGATTAGAAATCAATCAAATAATCTTTTTAAATTTAATCTAATTTGATTCATAAAAATTAATAAATTAAACTTGAAATAATATGAACGACTCGAACCTAAATAACCTATGTCAAACCCAAAATACTCAAACTGAAATGACATGAATTCTAATTAGTCCAAAAAAAAAAATGATCAGAACCTAAAATGACCTAAATTTAAAATGACTCGAACCTAAAATAACCCGAAATCGAAGTGACTTAACCCAAAACTAATTTTTTTTTTTTAATTCAAAATGAAGTGAACTGAATTAGCTTGATCCAAACTTTGCCTAACATGTCCAATTGACAAGTATATTTTTAAAAATAAAAAATAATATTATATTTATGAAATACTATTACATTATTTATAAAAATATTTAAATAATATTATTTTATTATTTAATTATATTTGAATTTAATATCATTTAAATAATATTATAATTAAATATAAATTAGATAATATAATTAGAGAATATTAGTTCAATTAATTTAAGTAATATTATATAAAATATAAAATTTAATAATTTAATATTAAATTTTGTTAAATATTAAGACGAATCAGTCTAAAATAATATTCTTTAATATTAAATATTCATTTAAATAATATTATTAAATTATTTCTTATGAATTGAGTCTACGGATATATATTTTAAAATATATAAAATAATATTATAATATGAAGTAATATTATGTAATATAATTGTATTTAATTATATATTAAGTATAATATAAAATTATAATAATAATATACAATTTATATTATCTAATAAAAAGATTTAATTGTCTATTAAATATAAAAGGGATCAACTTACATCATATAAAACTTTTTTAGTTTTATATATTTTTCTAACTTTTAATTTTAATAGATTGAAAAGATGAAATTAAATAATTTTTATTTAATATTATAATACTTCAGTAGAAATTAAACATATTATAAATAATATTATTTGTTATTAACATTCAATTAGATATAATATTAAATTATTTTTTGGCCAAGATAATTAAATTATTTAATAAGACCAATGATATATATTTTAAAGTTATATAAAAAATAATATAATTGAAAATATAACTATTTAAGTACCAAATAATATTATGAATTAAAATCTATTAAACTTATATTAAATGGTATAATTTTAAACCAAATGTTATAATTAAATATTATATTGTCATGTTATTTATATTGAATAGTTTTTATATTTTCTTCATATTCAAATAAAATTATATGTTAATTTTGAATCACTAAAATTTTAATCAAATATTTTTTAATTTATTATGATTTTGTATTAAATTTAAAATTTATTTTTATTTATAAATTATAAAATTATATTATAATTTTTATTATAAATATATATAATATTGTATTAGCATAAGATACAATTCGCCTATCTTTAGTGTTAAAAAATCATGTTTTTGAAAATAATGAAAACAAAAAAGAAAATCTCGCTTCAAATAATTTTGAAATTTTTTGTTTTTGTTTTGATTACTAAAAAGATTTTTGTTGTAATTCTAAAATTATTGAAAATAAAATAGAAAATAAGAAACAAAAACGTACCAAATTATCTCTCGATTATTATCACTATTATTTTTGAGGTAAATTACATAAATATATTTGAGGTTTAACGTGATTTAAGTTTACCTCATAAGGTTTAAAAAGTAACATTTAATCACCCTAAACTATATATTCGTAGCATTCTATCAGTTTTCATTAATGCCGTTAACACTTAATCAATAAACCTTAACTTTTTTCTAAATATTTTTTTATTTACTTTTTCTTAGATTCAAATTTTTCAAAGAAAAATTGGGTTGAAAACATGAATTCTTCACAATGTTCAATAAATGGGAGATCAAATGTTGAAAAAATATACAATTATGGTGTGTGCCGCTAGTTGATCTTTTCCATCTTCCTATTTACGTCTCTATTTTAAAAACTCAAAAATTCTCAAAAAATTCAAACCGAAATCCATAGAAAAAAAACATTATTGATGAGTTGTTGTGATTATTATGTGGATTTGTGGTTGTTTTGTAGGTTTATTGTGTGTGAGTAATTTGGGGTAGATTTAGATTCTGTGAGTTTTTCTAGTAGGTGCTGAGTTTGTTTCTAAGTTTATGAGTTTTTAGGTTTGTTGATGGTTGTCCTTAGGTTTTTGGTGGTTGTTGAATGAAAATTGATTATTTATTTGATGCTTAATACAATTTTTTATAACAAAAATTCTATTCTTAAAGAGACACAAAACTTAAAATTTGCATATAAACAGATAAGTAAAAAAATTGAAAGTTTCAATAAAAAATAATCAACACAATCAAAGAATACCATTAATAGGAACATTCAAGAGCAAAATTAAAATTTTGAGGTTTGGTTTGAGATTGCTTTTCTAAGGCTGTGAAGAAAAGTTTTTCGGTGGTTTTGGATTTAGTTATTTAGAGAAAAAATTTATCTGATTTAAAGAGAGAAGATGAATAGTAGAGAGAGAATATGAATTAAAGATTAAAAAAATAAAAAAAATAACTATTTTAGGTAAAAATATAATAAAACAAATAATAAAATAATTAAGTATCGCTTTTTAAACTTTAGGGAGTAAATTTAAATTACGTTAAACCTCATAATATATTTATGTCATTTACTCTTATTTTTATTATTTACAATAATATTATTTAATCAAAATTTAATTTTATTTAAAATTTTCAATTCTTTTAATTTTACATTTTTTTGAATTTTTGGGAACTATTTTTGAAATATTCACTATTTTTTTATTTTTTAGTTTTTAGAATATGCTTTTATTTTTTTTTGATTTTTATATTTTTGAATCTTTAATTTTTTTTGGATTTTTTAAAAAATCTTTAATTTTTTGAAAATTATATGAATTTTTTAATTTTTCAAAATTTTGGAGAATTTGATCATTTTCTTAAAATTTTTAATTTTCAAAATATTGTTTTGATTTTTTTAGAATTTTTAAAATTTTTTTTATTTTTAAAAAATTTTTATTTTTTTGAATTTTATTAAAAATTTAAAAAAAAATTTTAGCTGACATGATCTAAACGTTTTCAACACATAATATAATTTTATTAGATATTGATGTTATATTTGCAATTTAATAACAACTTTAATATAATATATTAATGCAATAAAAATTTAAATATTTAATTACGAATTTTATTATTTTAAATATCAAACGAACATAACGTATATAAGTACAGGTTTCGTATAAATATTTAAAAAGACAAATGTACCCAATGCGTAGTGGGTAAACATTCTATTTAGGGTTTATGATAAAGCCGCTACAGAATTAGGGTTTATGGTATCTGCGTACCAACAGATAAGATAAAACCTCTGTGATTATTTGTTCCATTTTGCAGTATCTGAAAATCCGTAATAATGGGCAAAAAGAAATTCATCGATAAGAAAAAAGCGGCGACGTTCCAATTACTCGCGCGAGACTCCTCGGATCCCAATTACAGCAACGCACCTGGCAGTGATCGAGTCTTCGTCCGAGTGGACAACAATCCCGTCTCCGTTCACACCGTCTTGGATGAAGATAACCGTTGCTACAATGACAGTCAATACGATGAAGAAGACTCAATTTTCGCCGATGCACCCGACGACGATGACAACGGCGGCGACGATTACGATAGCGTGTTAGGAAACTCCTCTCGTAAGGCCTCGAATGAGAAGGGAGCATTGCCGGAGAAGGTCAGGAAGGAGATCTTGGAGCTAGGGTTTCCAGATGATGGTTACAATTATTTGATTCATCTGAGAGAGATTAGAAATACAGGTGGCGGCTCTGCTTTCTATCATAACCCTAAGTTCAAGCCCGATCAGCTTCCTCGTGATATAAAGGTTGGTTCAAGTTATCAAATTTTAAAGAATTTGGTGTAATTTCTGATTAATTTATATTTGATTAATTGTTTGTGTTTTGCTTAGGCGTATGATGCTTCGAGAGTACAGATATTGAAATCAAAAGGGGATTACAATGAGAAGTCGATATACAGTGTTGCTTCAAAGACACTTAATGCGAGGATGCAGAAAGTGGTTGATCCTGAAGTGGCTGCACTGCTTGATGATAGTGATTTGTCGCGGTTTGGTTCGGATGTCGAGGATTTGGAGGAGGATTTTGTTCTAAGAGCAAACACGGCTGAAGCAGGAGAGAGTGATGAGACTGATAAGAAGTTGGATTTTGTTGAGAAATCCGACGTTATTATTGATGGTGTCAAGAAAGCTGGTTCTGATTCTGGCAATCAAGAGATTGCTAATGAAGTAAGGAATTACCAAGTGGAAAAGCCACACGCCCGGAGTCTCTTGGACGAGCAATTTGACATTGTGAGTCTTTTTTAGAGTAATCTATTTTGGTTTTCTTTCTTAGTAATTTGTGTGTTTGGAACTTATGAAATTGTGAATGTTTGTATGCTTTGGAGGGATTAGAAGACTTCCTTCCGCTTTTAGAAACTTTTTTCACCTAAAATAAGTTAAAGTTATGTCTTATTTGTTTAGTGCAATTGGTTGAATTAGGATGTTGCCTCAAGATTTTACCTTCTGCTGGCTGCCTTTCTATTGAAGTTCAAGAATACGGTACTGATGGTAATTTTATCTAATTATCTGTCTATTACAGCTTGAACAGCAAGAATATGGCACTGATGATGATGAATATGAGGGTTACATAGCTGAACAAGAAGAATTTCTGGCAGACAAGCTGAAAAATGTCCTTAATGAAAATGATATGGATGACTTGGAGCTTGATGACAAGTATAAAGCTCCTGCTGATTTATTGCACGGTAGTGAGAGTCTAAAATGCAAAGAGCTGCTGGCCTCTGCTGCTGATATCATGCGTCGTTGTGCTGAATATGCTGAAAAGTATGAAAATGAAAGTGAAGATGAAAAAGTGCTGGTTGTGCAGGAAAGCAGTGATGAGTCAGAGAAATTCGATTGTGAGAGCATCATTTCCACGTATTCAACTCTTGATAATCACCCTGGAAAAATTGAAGCTCCAGAGGTCGCTAGGAAAAAGAAGTTGGCTGAAACTGTATCTGGGGTCTTGTGTGCCAAAAGTCAGGTTATATCCCTTAGAGGAAAAGAGAAGCTCCCTGTAGACTTTTTACCTAATAGCAGAAAGGTTGCTACTGAAAAAGTTAAGGTTGCAGGTAGCTTAAAACCTGAACAGTTTAAGAGAAAGCAACATGGCCAAGAGAATAAGGAGGAAAAGAAAGAACGGAAGGTATCTATTTGCATGTGTGCTTGATTGTGTTTAAGCCTACTTCTAAAATTTGTTCAGTGCTTTGAAATGATGTTTACTTATTCAAATCATGTTTCATGGATGTATATTCCTTTCTGATTTGATGAATTATGATTTCAGGTTGCTGTAAAAAGGGAGCGAAGTGAAGCACGGCGAATGAAAAAGGCAACGAAAGAGCTGTACCGGAGTGAAGCCCAGCAAGCTCAGAAAGTAGCTGCTCTAGCTGGCCCATCTTCCATTCGATTAATGTAGGTATACTAATTAATAAAAAAAGCATGGATGATTTTCTTCCTCTCATCGGTTTTTTTTTTTCTTTTTCAATCATAAAATTTCAACAGTGAGAGAGAGAACAGTATGCTCAAGAGTTTGGCTGGAAATTCTTATATGGGAAAATTTGGATTCTGGTGCCATTATTAGGAATTTAGAATGGGTCATGTCCAAATTTTAAATTTTGTGGTTTGCCAGTACTTTTGAAGTGGTAAATGGAGATAATGAGACTGTTATAGTCTTCAAATGTGTCATGGAATTTTCGTATTCCTCAAACTGGTAATTATTCGTTTTATAAAGGCCAAGTTATAGGAGTAAATAAGTAGTTTCAATTGTGGTTTAAACAAAAAGGCTAACTGGTGTAGCCGTACAGATTTTATATGAATGATTGGCTAGTTTTGATAAAGTTTCGCATGCAGAATATGAATACTTTTTTTTTATTCTGGAATAGAAGAGATGTAATTTGAATTATTTGATGATAACTGTTATGATTTAGAGAACAAGCACTTACAAATTGTGTGAATTGTGAAAACAAACTGGCAAATTTGTTCAAATAGACAAATTATAATCTCATTTTCTAGTATTTTATAATCATCATTCTTGTAAACTAAGATAATTGGGAGTCAGTTGATTGTTAGTTTGACTTTTGATTTCTGTTCTAAATAGGTAAACTTTGGGCTGGTCGGTTGTTTGAGGCTGTATTTTCTGCTGGGATGCTCTCATTGTTGCTTATGCTTATGCATGTGCACGTACGCAGGTACTTGACAAGAAAAAGGCACCTCATTTGTGGTTGGAGCATCCTTTGGTGCTAGCTGTTAAATTGTTAATTTTCTTATATTTGATGTTTTGAGTTCAAAATTGACGTATAACATGGAAGATCTTTGCTTAATCTTTTTAGGTGTGGATGCTTAATTTATCTTTGCATTTAAATGTGTTATATTAATATGGTTGCCTCCACTTCTGTTCATCTTCCAATCTGACTATTCTTGTATGTTAAGAAAATGACTAATATGCATGTTCAATTTGTAAGGTCAGTAAGTGCCAGTGCCCCAAACTTTTTAAAATGGAAGATGAACTAAGGTTTCAATTCAGACGATGTTAGCTTACTGTTGTGAGTAGTTTTTTCTTTTTATAATTTTGTTGTTTAAACTAAATATTTGTTTTGGGTATTCTACAATGTGTATTATATAGTATACTGACTAAAACAAAAAATTGAAAAACAAAAACTTATATGATGTTTTAGAAGATGAGATGAATTGCAGTATGTGCTACTATTGTTTCTGATGCAGAGCTGTTGACATTTTGAACAAGCATCTTTGTGTCCATATTGCATCAAGTATCTTTTGCCTCATTCTTTCTGCCTTTGTTTGGTAAAGTAGATTCTCTTAGACTTTGGTAAAATAGATAGATATATGGAAAAAGATAAAAAATTGAGAGGAGAGAAAATTGAATGGATGTATTTTTTTTTTCCTGTTACGTAGTGTTGTTGGTAGTAATATGCTTGGTAGGAAAAATGTAGAACTGAAAAAAAATATATTTATTTTATCTATTGTTTGGTATGGTTGACAAATGAAAAAATAAATAAAAATTATAAAAAATTTTAATTATATTTTTGTAAGTTAAGATAAAAGGATATAAAAAAATATTTAAAAATTAATAATTTTGTAATAATACACATTTAACCAACATTTTCCTCATTTTTTTATCTTTTTAATTTCAAGTGATTATCTTTTATTTAGTTTTTTCTCTCATTTTCCTCTTTTATCAAACATAATAAAATACAGACTTTTTCTATGTAATTATCTAATGACTCAATAATATACACATTTATTCTAAGAAATCTGAATGCGTTTGTTGAACGATGTCACTTGGGCCCAACTCTTTGGCAAGGATGAAGTGAGATATGTGTAAAGTTTTTTAATTTGAATTTATTCCCTTTGAACACAAAAAGTTATTGGTATTTGGATGTCAATAATGTTTGATCAACTAATTTCTATCTATAGTTGTAATAAAATAAGCTTTATATTCATAAATTGTTAAAATTTCGCGGGTCGGACAAGGGTAAAAAATGTTGAAATATGAAAGCTAGTTTGGACATTTAGGCTTTAGTGGGTAGGGCAGATGAAAAAATAAAAAGATAAAAAATTTTTTAATAAAAAAAGATGGAAAACATCTTTTTCTCTTTCGATATAATATATTTGGGTGAAAAAATAAAAAAGTAATTCTATTTTACATCCATTACTTTGTTAGGATTGAAAAATGATAAAAAAAAATAACATAAAATTATACTAGTTGTAAGTTAAAAAAAAAGGATAAAATTTTAAAAAATATAAATAAATTTGTAAATATACGTTCATTACTTGTTAGGATTGAAAAATAATAAAATAAAAGAAAATTATACTAGTAGTAAGTTAAAAAAAGGAGAAAATTTTAAAAAAATATATAAATAATTTTGTAAATATACATATTTGATTAACATTTTTCTCATTTTAACTTTTTTTATTTTTATCAATTTGAAATGATTTGTTTTATTAAGTGTGGAAAATAATTATTTTTTTTATTTTTTTCCTTTCACCCTTTTTTTATCGGACACATCTAAAATTCATTTCTTTCCACTTTTCATCTAAAATCAAGCTCCAAGTAAAACTAGTTCTTAAAAGTCATTATAAATTGTGGTCAAACAAGAAATCGAGTTGGCGTCACTTTCAGTATTTGAGATTGTAAGGAAGTGGTAATGGCCTATAACTCGTAGTTAAGGAAACTTGACAAGAAAGTTATCAATAGCTATTCTATTGGCTATATCATTGACTCAAAAGGTTCTAGTTAAAGTTGTCCATAATATAATACTAAAATCATCAAGTTTAATTGTGAAATATATTTAAAAGATTTAGATAGTGAGAGTATTGAGCGCAATAAAGTTATTCCCAAGAAAGAATATATAGTTGTGATCATCCCTTGTATGACTTATCCTTTGATAGGAATGCCACAAGCAAATGAACTAACAGTTGATCCTAATGCTCAATTTCGAAACTTGAGCCTGAATTTGTAAATGAACATGAATATGACGCTCATATGTCTTTTGATCTTACTACTTTTCAGTAAGCAATTAATGATCTTAATTCTTTGAGTTGGATGCTTGACACATAAAATGAGATAATGTTGTATAATGATATGTGGGATCTAATTGAATTGATACATGCTTATAGATCTATTGGTTGTAAATGGATTTACAAGACCAAAAGGGACTCCATAGGCAAGTAAAAAGGGTTTAAAGCTAAATTTGTGGCCAAGGCTTTAAGTGAACATAATGAATTGATTATAAAGAAACATTTTCTCCTATTTCTACCAATGATTCTTTTAGAATCTTTATGACATTGGTGACTCATTTTGATTTGGAGCTAAATCATATGGACTGAAGACATCTAAATGGAATAACATGAAGGTTTAATGGTTTTTGGGATTGAACATATGGTTTGTAAACTTAGTAAGTTTATTTGTGGACTTAAATGACATCCAATCTATTGTATTTGAAGCTTGATGAGATTGCCACTTTAAGGAGAATATTGTCTATCAATGCATACATCTAAAAGTCAGTGGGAATAGCTTTGTGATTTAGTGCTCTATGTTGATGATATCTTATTGGCAGCCAATGATGCTGATTTATTGCATGGGACAAAGTGCATGTTGTCATGTCACTTCAAATGAAAAATCTAGGTGATGCCTTATTCTGTTTTACGGATTGAGATTTTTCGTGACAAATCTAGAGGCATACTCTGTTTGTCTCATAAAAACCTAGGTTGACTGTGTGTTGAGTAGGTATGATGTGCACTTTTGTTCTCTTAATAAGGTGCTTATCATAAAAGGTGACACTGTTAAAATCTAAATGCACTCATAGTGATAATAAAAAAGTTCCTATGTTGAATATTCTATGTAGGTAGTCGAATGTATGTTCAAATCTGTACAGATTTTGATGTAGTCTATGCTATAGGTGTATTTCGGAGACACTTGAGCGATCATGTGATAGAGCATTAAAGTTGTAAAAAAAGTGTTAAGATATATATTTTGTTTGTGCACATTTCAATGAATATAACATTTTGTTGAATGAGACATTTTGGATTAGTTTCATGTGCTTCTTTTGAAGCAATGCACCATTTAACTAAGATGCATGGATCTAATGGAAATAAATATTTGATTTGGTTTCCATGTCATTTCCATTTCACACTTACTATTGTTGATTAAATGCTTTTGAGTTTATGTACATGTATCTTGTCAATATAGTACATTCTGGAGCTCATAAATGCTTGTTGTTAGTGATGTATTCGTAAGTCTATGCATGTGCATCCTATCGGTGCAATGTATCCGAAGACTTATAAATGCTTATTGTTGGTAGAGCGGTTATGAGTCCACACAATCCTGGATATATATATCCGGTAATATAAAAATTATCTTGGAAATTCATTTCAGTAACTTATATCCGGTCACGTATGGATTTTTTGGAAATGCATTTCTGAATACTAAAGTTGTGTTTCAGAAATGTAATTTCGAAAAGTATGAATTTAGGTATAAAATCAGCTTACCCGTGTTTTTCTTAAGTTCCCTTTCCATTTTGACAATATTCAAAATATCACAAACACTTCTACAACTTTTGGGTGGGAATTTTGACCATAATGTGAAGGTTGCTGGGAAGAAGGAAAAAGGAAAAGGGATAAAGAAGGTATGTGAAGGACAAAAAAGTAATTTATTAATGAGTATTTAAATAATTTTATTTGAAATTAAATTTGTAATATAATTATTGTGATGTATATGAAGTAATTGTTGAGGCATGAATAGAACGCCTCGTTAAACTAACATCATTCAATCACATTATCAATAGTGTATGTGTTAAGGCTTTGTTTCGTTTTGCATTCAGTTGTCAAACACTGCTTTTGACTGTCAAGGCAATGCTAAACAAACTGCTTTGAGAGATATAAGTTGTTTTTTATCGCAAAAATTGAGCCTAACGCAAATGTATTTTGGGGATGCAGTCGCGGTTGGTTAATGATGGTTTCGGTATAAAATTACTAAATAATATTAAATAATTTATAAATTACAAAATTGTATATATTTATATAATATTTACATAATAATGTATGTATAACTATTATTTTTTGGGGTTTTATTAAATGCAAACCTTATAGTTATATAATGCGAAATTATAAAGGAAATATATTATTTCTATACTGAAGTAAATTTATTTTTTAAGAAAATATAAAAATCGTATTTTATATAAAATTTCAAGATTAAATTTCAAAATAATTTATTCCTTCATATATCTTAATTTACTCCAAAAATATTGAAAATGACATTCTTTATTTTTTCGCATCATGTTCTTTTTAAACATTTTATTCTCTCACAGCATTTTTAATAGCAATACTAAAAACTCAAAAAATTTAAACCATAGTTTTTTACAGCACTTTTTAAATACATTTTTTCAAATTGAGCTTTTCTCAATTGCGACAATAATGCTAAATTAGGCCTAAGTGTTTGCGTTTCTAGCTTATAGGGTTAGAATATTTCAAACTCTCCTTTTCAAATCCAAGAAAATAAAAAAAAATAGTTTTATCTAAAAATATATTAAATTAAATGAATTTCATTGCAAAATCTTAAAAGTTTTCCCTTTTGTTTTTTTTTTTTTTTGACTTTTGGTGTTAGAGAAAATTAAATAGAACTCAATCAAGAATTCAACACCCAAGACGAAGATTTTACATCCCTTACAAAAAAAAAGTCAAAATGAAGCTCTAAATAGTATACGCCAATTCTTTTTATTAAGAATATTTGATAAATGGATGTCTATCTCCGTCTTTATCGACATTTAAATGAACCAATACAAATAAGAAAACTCCCTTCTTCCAAATTTAAATTAAAGAATACAAGCATTAACACTAATTTTTAAAAAAATAATAATCTAATGCCCCTATCATCTTACTCTTGTCGACGTTGTCCTTTCCAGTACTATCCTTACTTTTGATATATTAATTATTCACAAAACTAAGAGTGTCCATACCATAAGGATAGACTTTTTTTTTTTTTTCCCAAAAATGTCTATGCATGCCATTTTCTTCGACTCTAATCAAGTTCAAAATGAAACATTGGTGTAACGAATGAATTTAGGTTGCCAAAAATAATATTGTCATCCTCAGTGTAGCCGCTAGAGTCTTGACAATCAAAGTCGGTTTGAATATCATCGGGAAAACTCCGACGTGGCAAATCAGGCTCGAATGGTGTTGATGGGCAATCAATCGTTGAGGTCCTCTCTAGCATTTCGTTTAATTTTGATGATTGCAACAAAAGCCCTAGTGCTAATGATGCTGAGCCACCTTCTCCATTGCTACCATGTTGCAGTGGAGTGCTCGACAGCTTTGAGGTTGGACGGAAAACCTTAATCCAATACATTTTTAGGACTTCGGATTGAATTGGTGTCAACATTATGGTTTTGC